ATCCGGCTTACTTCAGTTATCTGGAATAGAACTAATTAAAATGGAAATAAATTGAAAAAATTTCATAACATGCTTTTACAGAAAAAAATAATAAATGCGCTATATGATAGGTTCGAACTGCGCTTTCAGAATGTATCATGAAGATCTAATTCAAGATCTTGGCACAAGATAATCACATTATCTTGTACCTAAATTTCCAAGATCTGTTCACTTTTCTGTACCTAAGATCTTTTCCAAGATCTTGCTTACAAGATGTTCGACTAGGGTACCCCCCTCGATCCCCATTTTTTTCGGTCATTGTGTAGAGAACTTAAAACTCCACATACCCTCAAATTATTACTGAAAACGGACGGACTTTCATGGAGCTGGGATCCTCACAAGCCATATTGTCTTTATAGACCCCTTAGCGGTATGCATTTTCGAAAAATTTTCAAATCAAAATTTTGACCTAATTTTTATATGGTTTTATAGAGCATCCAAAGTTGTATATGCCCTAAAATTTTCATAAAGATTGCATGAGTATTCTTCGAGAAATACTGATTTTTCTATTAAGTGCATTTTTTCTTGTCCAATAGTAGTTTTTTTAAACCTTGATCGCGATATCAGGCCTATAGTGTATTGCAAGAAAAATCCGTTTCTGCAGAAATATGCGTCATCAAATTCTGGGTGTCGTAAGCAAGACAGATTTTTCTTTCGCAAACACATCGAAAGAAAAGCACTCTCAGTAAAATGTGCATGAAAATGAAAAAGTATGAAAAAACATAGCTTTTCACCTAACGTCTTTTTTTTTGCATATTTAGCGCTTTCAGAAAAGTAAATAATTATGTGCTACATATTATTTGAAAGAAAACTTCATAAGCAATAAAATCATATATAAACTTACAAAAAAATACTATGGCACGATGATGTTGAACAGACAAATATTTGCTTATACTAAGACGTACTGTAATAGATTATTAAATATTTTTACAAAAAATTTTCAAAAACTCTATTTTTAGTTTTACAGTTTTCAAAATAACTTTGGAAAGAAACTAATATTTTTCATGATTTTTCAATAATCAAATTTCGAAATATGGGAACAAATTCAAAACCGTTGGGTGCACGGAAAGAAATATATATCATTGTAGGAAAAGGTACTATGTATATAGTAGGAGTGGCACTTTATCTTTACTTTACCGAGTAAAGTAAAATATTTTTGTACTTTACTTGAAAAAGTAAAGTTAAAAAAGTTTGATTTTTTAATTTATCCATGAAAAATATTGCTTTCTAATTTTACTTTACTAAGTAAAGTAAAGTTGGATCACTTTACTTTACAGGGTAAAATAAAGATAAAGTGCCACCCCTAGTATATAGAAATCCTTAATTAAATTAGGTTCTAAATAGGTTCAGCTGTGTGTGAAATATTGTTTTATGAACTGGGCACAGTTCTTTTAGATGTGTTTGAATGATGAATGATACACAGAATAGTGTTCGATGATCAAAATTTGTTAAGAAACAAAATTATATTTTCTTTCAAGATCGAAAAAACATGAATATTACAAATCAAAACTACGAGGATTATAATCGGTGTGGGTGTGAGTGTGGGAGTAGATTGATATGAACAGATGGCTTACAATCAGACCAACACCCTGGTTTATATAAATTACGTTTAAAAAATAAAGACTTATATTTAATTGAGCAATAAAATTGTTGAAATGAGCAATAATCAAATTTAGCAATAAATAAATTGAATGAGCAATAAATATATTGGATGAGCAATATATATAATGAATGAGCGATAATTATACTGAATAAGCAATAATTAGATGGAATGAGCAATAATTAATTTAAATAAAACATAAAATGTATATAAAAAGGACAATAATAATTCGTTTATTGGCAACAATAAGTGTTTTCTCACATTCATGAAATACTATATGCAATTTATACAAATGACTCAATCGCAACATGTAGCACACTATATTTCTGATTCTGAAAATGACATTGATATGCAAATTCAACATTATAATAACATTGAAACAGTTAAAAGAAAAAAGAAAAACATGCGACAATGGGTTCCATCATGCACATACAATAATAAAGATGGTGCTATTAATAAAATAAAAAATGATGGTATATGGAGCAAAATACATAGCAATATCATCAGCGACGGGAAACGGGTTTATTATAGATGTAATCAAGTAAAACGGCGTGGAAACCAATGTCCAGCTAGTATTCATCTTTGATACCATAGTGAAAATGAATGTGTTACAATGTACAAAACAGAAGATGATTATTTACATCAAGAATTAAGATCTATTGGCATAAATCAACAATCAAAAGAAGTAATATGCGAGTTTTTCAAAATGAAAATCAAGCCAAAACGCATACTAGAAATATTAGAAGAGAAAGATTTACCTGTTCCCAAAAAACAACAAGTATCGAATTATTTGACATCCTTAAGAGAAAAATATTATGGTACTTCAACTATTAGCTTAGGTGAACTCGAAGCTTAGTGTCAACAAAATTCATTTATACCTGACGATGATGATAAACCTTGGGTATTAAAATGTCAGATTGAATATGAAGATGAAATTAATAATAATAATGATGATAATGATAGTAAGGATGATGATGACGATAAAAATAAATTTCAATTCTTTGTTACAACTAAAAGATTATTATTTAATGCAAGTATTTCAAATAAAATTCATGTTGATTCCACTTACAAGTTAATCTGGCAAGGGTTTTCTTGTTTTATTATTGGAACGACTGATATAATCAAACAGTTTCACCCTTATGGATTCGCTATATGTTCTAATGAAAAAGAAAAGGACTTTGAATTTATATTTAGTTGTATTCGTGATGGCTTACGCAGTTTAAGCCTGTAGATGAATGAACGATAATTAGTACTTATTGCAGATGGTGCTAAATCTATTAGCAATGCATTTTCAAAAGTATTTGAAACAGATCATAATATTGTTATGTGTTGGTTTCGTATGCGAAAACGTGTAGAAAAAAAGTTATATTTAGTCGAAAATAAAGCTTTAGATGATGAAATTATGAATAATATTGAAACATTACAACTGTCAAAAAAATAAAAAATATTTGACATTGTTACAAGATTATTCTTAAAAAATGGGAGAACCAAGAAAGATTTATTCAGTATTTCTCAAGTGAATGGTTAGAATCGAAAAATGGGTGGTATGAAGGCTTAGCAATATATGTTCCCAGCACAAATAATGCTTTAGAAGCAACAAGTCGTGTAATTAAAGATGAAGATACATTAAGGGAACGATTAGTATTATCAAGATTTACAGTTGTCTTATTTTCTATAGTCAATAAATGGTCAAAAGAACGAAATTCTACTCTTATTAATTCAAAAAAAATCGAACATCAACTATTAATAGCATTATCACATTGGACTGATGCATACAATTGGGTTAAGCTTAACAAAGAAGTTATATCTATTTTCAATGGTGATAGAACGATATATTATTTGCCTGCTGGTGAAAAAATTACAATAACAGATAAAGAAATAAAACGATATGAAACTTGTAGATTTAACTCGTTGGACACGTACAAGTCCGTCTACTTCAATATACGGTGCGTATGTTTATCAAACAATGCTGAAAAATGGAAAGAAGCAACCTACACCTGCCCATCATTCATGAAAAATTATATATTCCAGCATACCATTGGTATGTCCATTAAATTAAAATATTGCACACCTCCACCTGAGGCAAAACATGTGGAAATTGGTACAAAAAGAAAAAGAGGCAGACTATCGGAAGCAAAAAAAAAAGCTTTATATGGTACAATGATCAGTTATATATATTTCATTTTTCTTTTTGTTTCTTGTCACTTGTAAATAAAAACCATGTAGTTTTTCTCTTTTTTATTGCTCAAATATGAAATTAATATTGTTATCTAATAAACTATTTATTGTTCATTTAATATTATAAAATTGCTCAAATAAAGTTTTCTTATTGCTCGAAAGTTACTGCTAAATCATGTTTTAATTATTGATCATTCCAATATTTTTATTGCTCAAATAAATACAAGCCAAAAATAGATATGGAAAAATATCAACATCATGTTTAGTTTCTGTTTCTCAACGTGAATCTTTAACTGATCAAAGAATATTGACTATTGAAGATTTACCACTAAAGTGATAAAAGTCAATTTGATGTATTTAATTTAATATTTTTTTCTCAATAGATTTATTGAACCAATTTTTAATGTTTATGTCCATGAAGGATAAGAAACACATTTTCGTGCGATTATATCTGGTCAACTATCACCGAACGTAACATACGGTACGGAATTTCAATATCATTCTTATTTATTTTAAATATATTTTGAATAGAACAATGAAAAAATATCGTGTAACTCAAGGTAACGATGCTTATTTATTAGCAATATCACATGTCAATGAAAATGATGAATGTCAATATACATGTAAAGCTGAAAATTCACCTGGAGAAAAAGCATGGGATATTGGTGTGACTGAAGAGATGATCAACACCCACACTCACACCGACCATCGATTCAGTTCTTCCGATCATTCGAGAACTTAGTCGGAAATATTATCAGTCTAGTAGGAAAATTCTTTATTATTTCGAACTTGTTCAGCAACGTCTTCAATATTCTTTTACAAGGTGATTCGTCTTCGATGTTCTGGTGGAAGAATTTTAGTATAAATGCAGAAAACTCCATCAAAACAAAGTTGAGCTTGAGTGATATCTCCTCGATTCTATTTAATTGATCGCAAATTGTTGAGTAATGCGTCAACTTTGCCCCGATTAGACAAAGAAGAACGTTCGAATAACATCAATGCTTCAGTTGTGAGTTCTAAAGCTCGATGATCAATACTAACAAGTGTGACTAGTATCATTGGATCGATGAAAAACATCAATTAGAATAAAGACAATGGACATTCAGTATTGTTTAGAGCTTTACTCAATTTCCTTTGAGCCCAATAGCCATTGGCTATGTATCATACAAGCTTTGCCCTCACCCTCACCCTAGCACTCTTGAATTTTGCCGTAGACTTGTGTTTCTCTCAGAAAGAATGTCTTGTTTTCTTGGTGTCATTTCCGAGGAAAACGATAAAGCGAATTATTTGATGTGAGTAGATCATTTGTTATTTATCTTTTTTGTTTATAAAAGTCGGGCTAAAATATTTGATAAATTTACCGTTTAGTGGAAAATTAATTTAAGTAGGGAATTTTTTCATGAAAATGAATTTCGATTTCATGTCTCTTTAATACTTTGCAAATTTTCATGCACTGCTCGAGTAATTCTGTCGTATTTTCTTCTAAATGGCAATTGTGCTTGGGAAATTTTAAAGTAGATCTTATCCGGAGAAATGGAATTTTATCTCAATTTTTACTCAATTAGTCATAGCTTCTTATTTGTTTCTTTTGCAGCCACGTTGAAATCCCTCGAAGTCGATTGTATATACGACTTGTTGGTTATAAGCGATTTCTATTGAATTTTGTAGTATCTTATATTATCTGTCACCGAAATATCTCAATTTCAGTGAGCCTTCACTCAATTTAAATTTTTTTAATTTTTAGACAGTCGAACCTTTAGTAGTCATTCTATTCAGCGATGTTGAACATTCGGAAATTCATGCCGAACCAGAGCTGCCTCCCAGAATTTCCATTTTCCCTAAACTCGGAATTCTTTCTATTCCTCTTCGTATTATAAATTTGAAAAGGAATTTTATATTTTATTCACATAACGGAAAAATAGTAGAAAGGCGAAAGAGGAGCAGGAAAAGCACAAAAAGAGAACTTTTTCCGCAAAAAGCGGAAGATGTGACGACCTTAGTCATGATCCATTGTTCAATAGCTTTGTTGATCTCTTGTGGCTTCTCTTCCATGATCCAATGCGTTGTGTTTATTTCGATCACAGTCAATTGTGGCATGTATTGTTTCTGTGAGGTAAAGACAGCAGGAACACCGACGGCATCTCGCAAACCAGCAATGAATAGACAAGGCAATCGTATGTTGGGATCGAGATTTTTCTCATCCTCTACATCAACATTGCCAATTCGGGCTTTGTACCAATTGAGTTTGGGCTGCATTCCTTCCAAGATATTTTCGAGATTGACGTGATAGTCAATGTCAGACAAATAGGATGCACGACGAGGCAATCGTGTACCATTTAGAAGCCATTCTTTCATTTTGCCCGCAGGAGAAAAATTCGTACGCCAGAGGATAAGAGCGTCGTCTGATGGCGGAAAAGCAAGATCGAGAAAGCTATTGACATTCTTTTCTATCAGATCGTCTGCATCAAAATCCGAACCGAGGAACTTCCAATAGCCGAGCGCATCGTAGCCAAGTGCTTGCTTGATATTATCAATAGTTTTATCGATGTCCATCACACCGGGTGGAGTATAGCCGATACTCAAAAGAACAAGTGCTTGAACCCGTTCTGGCTCGTAAAGAGCGAACCGAGAAGCGGGCAACATGCCAAAATCGTGACCCACGACAATTATCGGACGATTTATCATCAGATGAGAGAGTAGAGCGACAAGATGAAGAATCATCTGTTTAGTCTTGTATTCATGAAAGTCGGAAGGTGAATAGGTCTTACCATAGCCCAAGAGATTAGGTGCTAAGCAGCCGTAGCCGAGTTGGTTGAAATAATTGATTTGATGACGCCAGCTGTAAAGTGACGATGGAAAACCGTGTAAAAAGAGAATTGTCGTTGTATCATTTGTTTTTGGTGGATGATAGACATATTCGTAAGGGATGCCTGGAGAAACGGTAAAGATCTGCGTCAACGATGTCATTTCTGATGTGAAAAATGGATGTTGTCAATACGTTCGCTTTATACTATTTATCACGAGAAGCTTGCTTACCTGTAAAAATGAGTCATCGCTCGATTGCATCGTATCATTATCATCATGACAATGACAAAAAATAATAAAATATCTAAATGGAAAGATAACAGGACGTAGCATGTCAATAAATATATACTCTTGTGTGGCTAAGAGAATGAATATGATAGCCATATACGAGAGACAATGTATCCCATCTCGTCAATTTTTCATCAAATCCGCCGGTTCCAAGCGGTTTCTGTTCGTTTATCGATTTTTTAATAGTTTTCCTATTAAATTAATATTTTTAGTTTAGAAAAAAAATCGATTTCAACCCAAAAAAGTCCAGATAATTATTCAACAGTGAAATTCTGTCAGATGACGCTATGGATTTTTGTATTGGTTAAGTTATCTTGCAAATGAATATTTTTATGGCGCCATCTTTAATAAAAATCTAAACTCGAAAACCAAGCGAATATAAGAGATGTGGCTGGTATCAGTGGCTTCAGTGGGTTTGCATTAAAGGGGGGCAACGATTTCAACATAATTCTAACGATTTTGTAAGAGTTTAAAAATATTCACCCTCTGCTCTGAAAAAAAAAAAGTTTTGCAGAACTATTTTTGGTTCTGCAACACATGCAGAACCAATTTATAGCTCTATATCACAGTAAATAGCTCTTAAAAGTTTCGCACAATGATGCAGAAGTATAATAAGTTCCCTGTCAGAAATGTCGAACCAGAGAGGTTCTGTCAAATAATATTGAACCATAAAATATCTTCTGACCAAAAATGTTAAACACCTAGAGATTCGGCCTAATAATGCAGTACTTCCAAAGGTTCTGCTCAATGATACTGCACCATAGCAAGTTCTCTGTTTGAAAATGCTAAACTAGAAGGAATTCTGTCGGCCCTGTAAATCTCTTCAAAGTTGATCAGTCAAAATACGGAACTACAACTATGAAAGGGTTTGGCAAAACAACAAAATGGTTCAGGATGTACCTATTCTAAAATCTTTTTGCCAAAAGGTACGCTAGAAAATCTTTTTTTTAATAAGACTAACAGTAGTTTCAACAGAGGTATTTCATCATATGCTTTACCTAATGAGTGTCAGTGTTTGTGTTCTTTGAAGTTCCATTCTTCAAGAACCCAAACACATTTAAGAGTTTTTTTTATACATTTAAAATGCTGTGAAGTATCTAAATGTTTCTGTGCACATTTTTTGTGACAGACTACTATGGGTTCTAGGTTCCTAAGAACACGACTCCTTACTGTTGGTTGTGTTTCCAGGAACACTAACCCTTGTTGTGGTTTGCGTTCCCAAGAACATGAACCACATCATGGGCTTTTGTTTTCAAGAACACAAACACATTTTAGAATACTTTTTATGCACTTTCAAGCACGCTGGAATATTTAGATGCTCTTGTACGCGTTTTTTATGGCAGGCCACTATGGATTGGTGTTCTCGGAAACACAAACTCACGATGTGATTTGTGTTGCTAGGAACGGAACCAGAAGCTGATACCTCTAGTTTTATCCCTTCTTCCGCTTCGCAATACTTTACTAGATTATCATTTACCTTTTTTCCGGATGATCGAGTGTGCTTATGAATATCAATTTAGATGTCTCTTTAACTTATTTTATGCATAGATTAAATAACTAGTAGTTTAAATTTGGAAATAAATTCAAATTCCAACAAATTTAATTTATTTCTGATTTCACTTATTTTCTTTTTATAATTTACAGGCCCCGTAGCGGTCCTTCTTTCCTTCTTTTCCTTCGTTTTTGCTATTCATGCGAATACGCTCTCAAAAACGTCGGAAAATCTACAAGCAACGTTTGGATAGAGAGACCTCAGAGTTCTCGAAAATGTATAATTCACTTCAAGTCCAATTAATAGTCCGCCACGCTTATGTTAAGGCATACATGTAGGACATCAATTTACGTGGTACATATGTGCAGGATGTGAGATATTTAAAATGAGTCTTCGTTGGAATTCGGTTGCTGCTCAAAATTGCGGACATATACTCAGTACTCAGTGACCAAGCATGACCAAAGCCGAGCTATATTATAGCTAGTCTTACAAATACTAACGTGAGTGCCTTTCGTCGTGTATCAACGTTCGGTCGAGATTTTTACTCTGCAGCACACAAGAATTATACAGTTAGTGTTGGATGCTTATTGATAAACTAAACGAGGAAAGCAATCAACATTTACTAGTACGTAGGATGGTGCTTGTGAAGGAGAATGGAGTCATGCGTGCAAATTGGCACAATTTAGCTCAAAACCAACCGTCAATTTTCCATGCAATTTAAGTTCGTCAGTCAATTCGAAACATGCTCAAAACTTCTCCACTTGGACTATAGGTCTTATGCTTTTCGAACTGTCAACGCTTCAGATCTCAGCCACTTTTTTTTTGACTTTTCTGGTCGATAAAGTCGTGAGTCATAGTTGAGCATTATAGCGATCGAAGAACTTGAAAGTATTTGGAATCATGTAGGTGTACATATATCACGGGATTGACCACTTGACCAGTTAACTCGAATCAATGGAGAACGTCGAAATCACCTTGAAATATCATTAAGAACAAAAAGCTCGAAAACAGCCTATCTGAAGTGTGGGAATCATAAGACATCGAAATATGAGTGGGATATACCAAAACTATCAGATGAGAAACAATATTTTTCTACAAGCTGGAAACTTTTTACGGGTTGCACTCAGCTTTGAGTGCGAAAATTTGGTTAAACAGCTAATTTAATTTCGAATTGCCTTAAACTTTTCACTTCTAGGCGAGAATGATCTCTTTCGAAGACAAAGTGGTCATTCTGCGTTGTAAAATTAACCAGGTTTTTGCAACTCGATAAACAGTCTAAAATTTTTAGGGTGAAGTTCCAGCAAGAGTGAGGCCAAACAGCAGAATCAGAAAAGTTTTATAAGGTTTCTTTAACAAAGTCATTGGAACCTAATTGAAAAAACTCGTAGGTGGGTGCAGGAATCGAAATACTGGATTTTGTAAAAGCGGACATGAGTATGCTAGGATTGTAGTGCACTGTCGATTTAGTAATGTCATGTGTTTGTTTTCAAAAAAATCTGCCAGCATCTGTTCGATCTGGTGTCATATATTCGTATCATACAGAAATTGATAGATAACCAGACCGTTTCAAATTCATTTTGTTAATTGAATAAAACACATGACATTTCGAGTCGACAATGCTGCTCTACAATCCTAGCATACTTATTTTCACTTTTCAAAATCAAAGATTTTGATCCCCGTACCTATATATCGGTTCTTCAGTTTGGTTTTGATGACTTAGTTCGAGAAGCTCTCAACAGTTTTGCTGCTTGCGCTGTGGAGTTTCTAACTGTGCCGGCAGTTTACCCTAAAAATTCCAGCCAGTCTATCGATCAGCGAGAAAAGTTGATAGTTTCCTAATGGCCACATATCAGTTACATTCTATCAAGGGATATTTTTGACAATACACGAAATTTTGTGATCGATACAGGGAATAGTGATACATTGGAGTGAGGAGGTGTTTGTTACCTGTAGAACTGCCAGGAGAATCATTGAGACCTAGGAAGAACAACAGCACGGAAATATTACATGACAAGAAGACAAACGTTTGTGTTGGAAATTCGTTCTTGTCTGAGCTCACCCCTATCGTTTACCATTCAACTTCTAATATAACTTTACCGCTGTAGCGCAGTATTCTTGAAAAATCCTTTTTTCTTTCTTCTTTTCCTACTTTTTCCGAGCTTCCTTCTTGTTTTTTCAAAAGCTTCCTTCTCAAAATCCTTCTTTTCGGCGATTCCACGCTGCAACCCCTGTAAATTAGCAATTCCAACAGATTTAAAGAAATAATAGTTGAAAATGGCATGTCAAATGAAAATCGCTGATACCAAATTGAAGATGGACCGAAACTTAAATACTTTAAATTGGTGAACACAGTAAAGATATGTGCAAATATAATTTTATTGATATCTGTTGTCAAAATTTGTTTTTTTATTTCGACTAATATCGATAATCAAGGATGATATTTGACTTTTGACTATACAGGTAAAACTAGTGTCATCTAAATAAAAAGTCTCTTGAGAAACAAACTAATTATTTTCAATATTGATTTGTTCAATTTATTTCAAATGAATAATATAACATAGAAATTCATACTTAGATTCCTGAATGTTTTACTCGACTATATTATAAACACAATAAAACGAATTATAATGAATTTTCATTTGCTTATCATTTATTCAGAATTAAAAATGCTTACCAGTACAGAGAGATATAGCTTCGTTTACATCAATACCATATAAACCAAGTTGAAATAAATTAGGATAATTTGTAGCACGAAGAATACGTTGTATAGATGTTGGTTCAAGATTAAGCCATTTAATTTTATGATGAATTTCATGTAAAATTTGTGAACAAAATCGATCAAGCATTGGATCAGGTAGTGGATAGGTGAAATCATCTAAGAAATATGTTAATGTTAAGTGACTTGTAAAAATTTAATCATGTGCAATTGTACTGAGTCGTGGGTGTGGATGTGGTTGTGGTATATGGTATCCTCTTCAGGAACACACACACCCACACCTACACTCAGTTCTTCGATTCACTTTACACGAACTGTTGAGCTTGAACTATCATATGCCTACTTAATCGTCATAAAAGTATGACATGAATAAATACAAATACACTATTCCAATGTTCGTTTTTATTTCTATGATATTTATTTCAATGCTAATTTATATAAGAAAATACTCTGTATTCCCGCAGCTAGTGTTCTGAGAAGCCTATTTCTGGTATTTCATTGTTGTAGCCTAAAAAGAAAACATTGTTGACGAACAATACCCAAAATCTGGGCGTTGAAATTGGCAGAATATGAAGACCTCACCCTGCCCTACATCTTGCTCTACTCCATCCTGTCCTGTGGACATCTTTGTTCGGAATCTGTGCTCATAATTAGAATAATGTCAAGATATTTTTCAGATTGTTTTTGAATAAGGTGTCAATGTGGCTGAATGTGGATGTGGGATGTGGCTGTGGGTGGGCAGATCTGGATGCGGGTTGTGAGTGTGTGTCTTCTCTTTACACCCCACTCACACCCACACCCAGACCCTCAAGCTCGGTCAGGAATTACTTTGGTATCCGTGGCACATGATCGGGCCTCCGAGCTCACTGATACATGACATTGGATGGGTACATGTGGATGGCGTCGGTCTTCCCGCGCGCGCATGAGCTTTACGATCGTCACGGCTCCGCCAAGGTGGTTTCTGGTCGCTCGCGCACCCGAACAGAATAACAATTCCTTTCATCAATTCAATGTGAATTTATTTGAAAGGAAAGAAAAAAATCAATCCATCATTTTGAGTTTATTCAATTGAAAAACGTTGTACACGATGATTGTAGTGATCGACGACATAGAGATTGCCATGTCGATCGAAGGACAAGCCCATGGGATCGTTGAACTGATTTGCTCCTGCTCCTTCACCATTTCCACCCACAATGACAATGCCTTTTGTCGCTCCTTTAGGCCAACACATCACTCGATGATTACTCGAGTCTGCCACGTAGATGGTACCCAATATATCGACCAACAGTCCTTGAGGAGACGACAGTTGTGTCAGAGAATTCCCTTCGCCTTGACCTCCAGCGACGACAATTCCTTCATTTGCATCTTTATTCCATTTCATCACACGACAATTGTTGCGGTCTGACACGTAGACATTCTGTTGTTGATCGACAAAGATAAAGGTTGGATAGTCGAGTTGATTGAGACCAGCACCTTCGCCATTGCCACCAGCCACAAGAGTTTCATTCTTGTCTCCTATCTGATATCGTCTTACTTCATGTTTCTCGGTATCAGAGATATAGAGGTATCTCTGATCATCCATGGCCAATCCGCAACAATGGATGCTATGGATGAGGATTTCTCCTTGAGTTGTGCCACTACGACGAGACCATCGTACGACTCGTTGATTCCACGAATCACAGATAATGAGACTATCAGTCTCTTTGTCGATCAACACATCGCTTGGTCGATCCAATTGATCCAATCGACTTCCTCGGTCATTACCACCAGCTACGACTTGTCCATTCGCATCACCTATCTTCCATTGGATGATACGATGATTCCAATAGTCAGCGATGACAATCGTTTGATCATCATCAACGAAGAGGCCTTCAGGTGTTTTGAGTTGATTGGTGGCATTGCCCTCCCCGTGGCCTCCAGCAACGGTCACTCCATTTTGTGCCCATCGGGCATTGGCTGGAATATTGGAAATCACTACAATGAACGAGAAAAAGAATCCCTATCATCATCTACTACAAATAAGATATTCTTCTTCTTCTTCGAATGGAACTTGATAAAACTTTCGAGAATGTCTTTCCCTAACATGCTCTAAACAAGAAAGGGTTCTCCTAGTTTCATAGGCAACAAAAAAAGAACTTGGTAACGATTCTTATTAGAATCCTTTGAGGTTCCTGGAAAGAGTTTTTCTCGAGAAGAAGCATTTCTGAGATCCTGAAAGAGTAATGCTAATCTTACGCAAACTTTAGATAGGAAAACATAAAAATCGGAGGATTTTATTCATAGTTTATAAGATGAACTGTAGGTAAGGTTTCAAGCAATAAAATAAAGAACTGTGTCAGATTGCTAAACTGAAGATAAAACTGAGAAGATCTTTTTCTGTATCTTGGTTCCAGGGATGCAGAATGCATCTTTCAAAAAGCTTTTGGACGTGGTTCGGAGAACATATTAATGATATGTTTTTCTGGTTTTGAAATTCAAATCTTCGGAAAGGTAAGCTAGACATTCTCATAAACGATGCAGCTGATATGTTTTGCCGAGTTTTTTTCTAAATTATGAAAAGCTCTTCCCAAGGAGGTCTTTGAGAGAACTCTAGCAACGTATACTAAGGGCAAGAAATGTCTTAAAGTTTTGAAGAAAGGGGAGAAAGGAGATTATTGCAGAAATTAGCATCGTTGAAACTGGCAAGAAGTGTAACGTTAACTGTATGCTACCTACTGATAGAAAAACATAGAGATTTGAGGATTTTATTCATAGTTAATACTGCTGAATCTTACCAATGAATAGCAGAAAGGTTACTAGCAGGCTAAAATCCTCGAAGAATTTGCGTTTAAGTGATAATATAAAGAACGTTGTCAGATGTCTAAACTAAAATGTCCTGAGAAGATTCTAGTAGGATGTTGTTGGAAAGATTTGACGAATAAGAATTTTGGAGTGCTTGAAAAACGAATGTACATTCTGATCAGCACATATTTATGGGTTACTTTTAACGTAGTTGGACAAAAGTCCTAATCACATCATTGTATGGATCATTAATGCAAGTCTACAAAAGAGACTTCTTCACATTCGCATGCTGGACGCAGGTGGCATGTTATTAGGTTTTTTGCTCAACTGATGTCAATCTTACTCAAATAGAGTCCAGATAGGGTATGAGCAATATCAAGAGCAGGATTGTATGAATCTGAACCTGCGTAAACTTAGGGGTATTCGTCACGGATCGTTGAAACTAAATACTTTCTACTTTTGACGCACTGAATAGCTCAATACTAATTGTATCGGAGCTCTCTATAGTAAAACGTAGGAATCTGTAGATTTTAGGCAGAATTTGAAAATGCTGGAATTGAGTACTATAGTGGAAATGCATTCTAAAAAGCTATTATTAAATTTTCAAGAAAATTAGCTACGAATCATTGCATGAGGAAGCTAGAAAAGCATCTTGATGACAAAAGAGTAATAACCTCTATGAAAATCCGAAAAGCTTAAAGTTGTGAGAATATTCTATTAGGATATTGGCCTAATGCTTATGCAGTATTGTTTTTGAGAATCTTTTTCTAAGTGAAAATATACTGGATATTGTCACAAGGATCTCATGAATAAGGGTTTTGGTATCCCTTCAATACTAATGCGGCTTCTAATCTGTGTCCATCGAGTATTGACTGGAATATTACCAGTCATTACAGTAGTGATCGAGAAAAAGAAAAGCAATTATCATCGTCGTTGCCTACGAATACGACATTGTTCTTCTTCGAAACGTACTTGGCAAAGCTTTCGCCAGTGCTTCCCTCACATACTCTAAAGCAAGGAAAATATTCTCCTCGACATATATAAACTGGAAAGCCTTTTCCTAATTTCCTATGCAAAAACAAGAACTTCGTAACAACTCTTATGCAAATCCGTGCTTACAGGAATTGGTTTAAGTTCTTGCCACGATCTTTGATATTACTGGAAAGAGTTTTTTTCTCGAATATGCATTTCTAAAATATCGCGAAGAGTAATGCTAATCCCATTCAAGCGCTCGACCGGAAAACATAAGTATCGGAAGACTTTGTTTCAGTTTCTGGTGTAGAATTCTATCGACGATTATTAGAAATGGTACTACCGAGCTTAAATCTTTTCAGCATTTTTATGATGTACTATGGACATGATTTTAAGCAATTCAGTAATGCACACTGTAAGATTCCTAAAAACTGAAAAAATACCGCGACGATCCTATCGGGACTTTGTAAGGAGTATGCAAAGAAAGAGGATTTCGACTACTTGAAAAACAAATGTGCATGGTCAACAGTATATATCTTTTAGAATAGGGGTGAGAAGTTATTGTTATTTTTTGTTATTAATAACAATAACAATAACAAAAAAAGTTATTGTTATCAATAACAAATAACAAAAAAAGTTATTGTTATTAATAACAATAACAAAAAAAGTTATTTGTTATTAATAACAAAAAAATAACAAATAACTTNGCTCATCACTTAACCGTCTGCTGCCGCTCATCGTATTCAGTTTATCTTTTCTCCTTATATAACCACATATCACTATTTAGTCCAGCGCATGCTTCTACTCTGATCAATGTTCAATGCTTGCTCTTTCTCTTTCTCTCGTTATAATATCTATTCTTGTCCTCTCTCGTTCTACGCTGGGTATATAAAGAGTAGACGAGAGAGAATAAAGGCATTCTGGTGTGGAATAAACACTAAAATCGTTCCACTGTGTTGATAAAGAAGTGTAATTCACTCTTCTCTATTGTCGTTCAACAACAGTATTAAGTTTTAGTGATTGTTTTCAAATTGATTTTCTCATAAAATCAACATGTTGAGCAGGTAGTTCAAGATTTTTCGATTAAGAGCATAATTTGTAACATTTTTAAAATGCTCATTGCATAGACGGTTATATTCACGTTCAATAACTTTTGCATTAGTTGACGGGAACACAAATCATTTTGACATGTTCCAATAAATTTCAAACCTTTACTTATAATAATCCATTGTTCATTCGATAACTGTATAATTGTATTGACAAAGTATAAGGAAAGAAACACATTGGTATGATAACGAATATTTAATTCTGATCCATTGTGACGCCGTCGTTGTCCATTATATTATTTTGTGATGTTGGAGATTGGTTGAAAAAAGATATATACTTTGTTAGGTGATATAATCAGCTCGTTGAGTCATTTTTATTCACATTCTTCAATAGCTGCCAATCATTGTTCAAATACATATGAATGTAAATTGTGTTTACTTGATTTTTATATGTAATCTTTAATATTTTATTTTTTCATTTTTAGATATTTTATCTCAACAGCGTACTTTTGTTCATCAGATGCTATACTTAATTCAAGCATATCATATTTGACCTGATTGACTCTTCTCCAACAACTTGTGTAAATATTTTTTGTACCAAAACACATCAAGACGCGTTTGATTCGATATTTGAAATTTGAAAGATGCACTACAATCCGTCTCAGGTTTGATCTGAGTCGCCATCAATATCCTCAAACGATGGTCTTCATCTAGCTTTAGGCGAAGAGAAGGTCGAAATATTGATGTATCTGAAATGACAGAAATTAGATTAGAACCAGTGAAGTAGGGATTATGAAGCAAATATTTAAACTGGGACGCCACATCTGACCACAACTGTTGTCTAATGAAAGAGATAGTATACATGCATACTGAATTGATACTCTTCACAAATACATATATCAATGAAATGCTTTCTGTGCATATAATATTTTCATTGCTGGTGTATGTGTAAACATATACACTTGTCTCAAAAAAAACTTGCGTAAAATAAACTGTACATATCCTTTTTACAGATTTTTGTAGTTTTTGAAAACTTTTCTGTTTAAAAAAATGTTCTCTCATATGTTCTTTGAAATTATATCGGTTTCAATTGTAGATAATGTCAATGTTGCAGAGTTTATTATTTGTGTATTCTACTTTAAAAAAGGGCTCGGAGAGTTATGGATGTGAGTGCGGATGTTTGCTGTGGATGCATGTGAGGGTAGGTGGGTGATCGCACGTGTGGGTGACGATCTGAGTCTGCGTTTGATTCGGGCTCTACTCGTAATCGATGCTCACACAGTCATCCAAACCCATACCTACACCCCCCCCCCCCCCACTCACCAACGTTCCGCACAGTTACAATCACATCTACCCACACCCGCATCTACCCCCACAGTTACAGTCACACCCACCCCACACCCCGATTAGATAGTGTGTTCAAATTCAAAAGCAGCCCATGGCATTCATAGTAACAATTGTGTTTGGCGAACTTTATAAATTGCAGTTAATTTTAAAAAAAGCATTACTTACTATAGTTTAGCGCACTCTTCAAATTACAGCTCATTAAATTGAAATAGTGAAACTCAATATTTCGTCATCTGTATAAATGCAGCTAGTTATAAAATATAATTGAAAGTATAATTAGTATAATTAGTATCAAATTTGTTATTAGTGATTTTCTTTAAAATTTGAAAAACTAAAATTTGAGACTTAAGACTGTTCTCAATTTGAATAGATTGAATTAAAAAAAATAATTGATGTTGAATTTAACAGATTTTGAACTTCAATTTCGTGTTCGCAAATGAGAAGACATGAGACTACCTATAAAACATTAAATATTATATTGGTTCTTGTAACCAAACAGTGATAATCTTCATATTAATGTTGAATTATGATACGCTTCCACTTTCTCGGGTGACCTTGTTGTTGTTGATACTGTTGATTAATCGATTGATCAAATGCAGTTTTTGACATACTATGCTTATGCATACATTGTATGCGTTGTCTTTCCGCCTTGCTAATGTATGTTTGTTCACAACTATTGCATGGGATTATTGAAATTCAATGCTACTTCTCAGTTTCCATCAACAGCTCACTCTTTTCAAAGACAGTCATAGATCGAAATGAAAGTCATTGGTCAAGAACATAAACGAACAATCAAATTCCTACGAACCCCCCGAAAAAGATCTTTGATTAATCATTACACGATCAGACAAAGACCGAGGCATCGTTGTGATGGAAACTATTCTTCAAAAATGATGAACATTCACCTACATTGATCATAATGCAACTATTATCAATGAAGACTGATTGATTCGAACATCGTTAAGATTGAAGAAAGAAAGATTGATCAAGATTTGGAGAATCAAGATCAGCTTATCTTTATGACCTACCAAAGTTATAAAAGCTTAATTGTCCATTAAGACCAGTCGTGTCAGCTATAAAGATAGCGAAATATGATTTAGAAAAAATATTAACAAATTGGTTATCACCTTTTCGCAGCAGCTATTGTTTTGCCAAAGATTCTTTTGACTTTATCCTCAAAATCCAAGGGTCTCAAAATGCGGATAAGATGATGGTCTCATTCGCTGTAACAGATCTCTTCAACGATGTTCCATTCACCTCTACTATCGGCTATATCCTTGATGAAATGTATCCGACGTTCTCAAAAATATATCAATATTTGTCACGAACAAAGCTATGTGATTCACGTAAGTGAAGAATTGATTTTGAAACTCCACTTCGAACAGCCAGATCAGAAATACAGTTTACTTTCGGCAACAAAATGTATGTACAACACAATGCTGTCGCAACAGGTATTCTATTGACTCCAGTAATTGTAGATATCTTCACGATTCATCTGAAAAAAACATTGATGAATAGGCTATTACGAATAGATGTTTTTGTATGGCGTCGTTACGTTCATGATACAACTGTACTTATTAATCTAACAATACATATATCAGATATATTGACCATTCTTAATAATTATCATCCGTCCATCAGACTCACCAAAGAAGTAGAAACCAATCAAACACTTTCATTTCTCGATATGAAAGTTATTTGATTAGCTGAACAACACATGTTCAAGACGATCATCTATCAGAAATCAACACGTGCACTGATTATATGTTCAGCATACTCATCATTATTTGTTGAATTCAATGAAATACGATGAAATTGTATAGTAATGAGCAACAATTAAATTCATCAATAGTTGGACGTGATAAGAAACGTATGTATACTGATATTCCATTTATTATTGAATAGACAACATATACAATGAAAAAGAAAATCATACATCTGCCTGACAAAGTTCGATTTGATCTTGATATTCAATGCTTTACAAGATCATCACCATCTGTTCAAACGTTTTTTTAAAATAAAGATCTCATTGTCAAACATATGCAATCTAATGTTGTCTACTCTATTCAATGCAATGATTGCAGACAAGCATACATCGGCGAGGCAGAAAGATAATGCAAACCAGCACTACTAAGAAGATCACCGATCATCACGAGTCAGAAACAGAAAAACAAACATCGACAGCATCCAATAATAGCACCAGCATCGTCTAAAACAACAGCAAAATTAAAAAAGACGTTGTCTTCTCATTCACTATGCAACACGAAAAGGAAACCGACCATGCTATCAACGGTAAAGACTTTCGTGCTGTTTGACAAGACAACCATCTCTATTGTTTACTAATCAAAGAGTCCTTATTAATCCTTGCATACAGATCACAACGCAATCGAACAACACACTCAATTCTAGTGATTGTTTACCCCGATGGCTTACCAAGAAATATGTTGCTTGCACGAAATGGTTAATATGAACGCCATCTACTATTCTTTTCCTTTTTTGTTCTTTTGTTTTTTCTTGTTTTAATCTATTTTTTCTAAATTGCGTCTACTATTTGTGATAATGATGACTAAGTTCATCGAAACGTCAAAGTAGTCACTAATTTAATTCAATATTTAATAATGTCATTTAAAGCCGATGGTATCTTTTCATTTATTGTTAAATTATTGTTCTTAACAATTTCAAAAGTCTGTAACTTCAAACTATCATAGAATTCAAGATAGTAGAACAATATCCATGCAATTCTATCCAACTTAAGTGTGTCAAGTTGTATGTGTAACGTAGAACACCAATTCTTCAATATTAGCATGAATTAAAGAATTCAACAAATCAGAAACATTTAAAAGATACTTGTTTTTTTTCCACTAAATGAGAATGAGGACAACGTATGGGTCACTTCCAGTTAGATAGCAAGATTTCTTTTCAAAATCTGCTCGCTTCAAGAGATACCGGGTGTAAAATGATTAGAAAGCTGTCATCTTCACTTTTAAACTCTGATTTGACTGACAGTATATGTGTGCATCTTGCTGTAGTACACAAAGAGGTTGACATCCGAACATTCTCACATACATCCATACTTCAGTGTATATTTTCTCATCGTAACTACACGAAACACAAAGGAAAGCAAAAAACAGAGCATTGAAAAACGAAGAACTTATATTTAATTGAGCAATAAAAATATTGGAATGAGCAATAATAGAATTTAGCAATAATTATATTGAATGAGCAATAATTCATTGAAATTTGAGGTAAATTGTATATAAAACGAGCAATGTGGATTTATTTATTTACACAAATAGGTATTTTTTCAACTTTATGACATAGAATACATAATTTATACAAATGGCTCAGTCACAACATGTAGCACAATATATTTCTGATTATGAAGGGGACAGTAATATGGAACTGCAGTCTTCTAATAACAGTGATGAGGTTAAAAAAGGCAAAAAACAAAATAGGCGAAAATGGGTTCCAATGTATGAAACTGGAAATGATCATTTACATCAAGAACCAAAATCTATTGGCATAAACGAATAATCAAAAGAAGTAATTTGCGAATTGTTCAAAATGAAAGTTAAGCCGAAACGTCTACTAGAAATATTAGAAGAAAAAGGTTTACCTGTTTCTAAAAAACAGCAATTATCCAATTATTTGACATTAAGAGAAAAGTTGTATGGAACTTCAACTATAAGTTTGGGTGAGTTGGAAGCTTGGTGTCAACAAAATTCAGGTATACTTGATGATGATGATAAACCTTGGGTATTAAGATATCAGATTGAATATGAAGATGAAATTGATGATGATAATAAATTTCGATTCTTTGTTACAACTAAAAGATTATTATTCAACGCAACTATTTCAAATAAAATTCCTCCTGATGCTACCTACAAATTGATCTGGCAAGGATTTTCTTGTCTTATTATTGCGACAACTGATATGATCAAACAATTTCACCCATATGGATTCGCTGTATGTTCCAATGAAAAAGAAAAGGATTTTGAATGTATATTTAACTGTATTCGTGATAGCCTACATGATTTAAACTTGCAAATGAATGAACAAAAATTAGTACTAATTGCAGATGAAGCTGAAGCTATTAGTAATGCATTTTCAAAAGTATTTGGAAAACATCATAGTATTGTTCTGTGCTGGACTCATATACGGAAACAAGTAGAAAAAAAAGTTGTTTAGTAGAAGATAAAAATTTACATACTGGAATTATGGATGATATTGACACATTACAACTGTCGAAAAATTTAAAAAAAACATTTGAAATTGTTACAAGACTATTCTTAAAAAAGTGAAAGAACCAAGAAAGGTTTATTCAATATTTCTCAAGTGAATGGTTAGGATAAAAAAACGGTTGGTATGAAGGTTTAGCAATGTTTGCTCCAAGCACAAATAATGCTCTAGAAGTAACAAATCGTGTGATAAAAGATGAAGATACAATAAGGGAACGATTAGTATTATCAAGATTTACAATTGTTTTATTTTCAATGATCAATAAATGGTCAAAAGAACGAAATTCCACTCATGTTAATTCAAAAAAATTCGAACATCAATCATTATTAACACTATCGCTTCGGACTGATTGATAGAATTGGGTTAAGCTTAACAAAGAAGTTTTAGCTGCTCCAAGTGGTGATACAACAATATATTATTTGACTGCTGGCGAAGAAACTACAATAACAGATAAAGAAACAAAACGGTATAAAACTTTCAGATTTAATTCCTTTGGCACGTACAAGTCCGTCTATTTCAACATATGATGTGTATGTTTCTCTGACAATGCTGAAGAATGAGAGAAGGAACTTGCACTTGCCCGTCGTTCGTTAAAAATTACAGTTGCAAGCACACCATTGGTATGTCCATCAGGTTAAAATATTGCACACCTCCGACAGAGGCAAAAAATGTGGAAATTGATTCAAAAAGAAAAAGAGCCAGGCCATCGAAAACAAAAAAGGCTTTATTGATACAATTTATTTCATTTTTCTTTTTTTTTTGTTCAATTGTAAATAAAAATAATGTAGTTTTTCTTTTTTTTTTGTTGTTAACATATGAAATTACTACTGCTATTTAATGTGTTATATATTGCACGTTTCATATTATAAAATTGATCAAATAAAGTTTTCTTATTGCTCACAAATTATTGCTGCATCGTATTTTAATTATTGCTCATTCCAATATTTTTATTGCTCAAATAAATACAAGCCGAAACGAAGTGTACATGATAAAGAAAACATTCATAAAAAATAACTGCTTACCTAATGAAAAAGTCATGCTTCATTGACTCATATATACATGTGAAAGTGCAGAAAAAAAGTAATTTTCGTCAACGATAAAAACGGAGCAAAATTGGTAGCGAGCACACATAATAAAACTCGCACACTTCAGCATCACTTATCACGTGAGAATATTTGATTTACAACATTATTACACTAGTGGTACAATTAGAATTGAATGTCAACAGTAACTACACAGAACGAACAATGACGGAACATAGAAACGAGACATTTTGGCAACCAGAAAGTAATTTCAAGATAGCTCCCATTGAGGATGTTCAGCATATGAAATCCTTAGTTTTGATTGAAGTAGCTGTAACGCATAAAGTAGTCCTACCACAAATCGTATCAAACACAACGACTTTTATAGTACTTAAATTTCGTCGAGAATTATAATGATGGAACACACGATTTTCACTCTTAGTAAGTCAACATAGCAGTGTATTCAAGAACATCTAAGAAACTAGGAATGTCAATTTATGTTTACTTCCAAATCACTTTATGCCTAAATTAAATTATCAGTAATTTGCATTTAGTGTATAATTTATTAAACTATAAATTAAATTAAATTAAATCACTCTATTTCTTTTTAATATCTCATCCGAGTCAGACGAACAAGAAAAGAAAAAACATGGAAAATTCATCGAAATTGTAGCGAAAATAAAATGGTAAAAAGCGCACATGTAAATGTTTTCATAATGCTGTTGACTTTTTACCGCATATGTATTCGTCTGGAGAGTTCAAAATTTTGTAACAACGTTAAAATGTACACTTTTCACAATTTTATTTGAGATAAAATTCGACGCATCTTTAGGCGCTTTCTTGCTGTTCGTCTGATTGAAATGAAAAATCAAAAAGAAAGAGAATGATTATATTTTATGTATCATTTAATAAATTATAAACCAAGTGCAAATACTTTCACTTTAAAATAAATTTAAAAGATAGATAATTTAATTTATTTTATATTAATATGAAAATGATACTCCAATCATAGACTCTTGCAATGAGGTAGAAGCATCTTGCAAAGCTATTTGAATCTCGAAAAACTCAATCAAAATCGAAGGTGTTGAGCATCAAACCAATGGTCTTTATTCACAGAATAGGAGAAGCATCACGATTTTTCAAGTACAACATATAGGGGAACTTCTCCACAAAAAACAGTCTATTCATTCCTCTTTATGAGCATGGGTGGAAGAGTGCAGTGATCGGATAAGTTTCATCGATTGACATTTTTTTGTCTTCCTAGAAAAGAATCTCTTGGAGTTAGTAAGAACAAATAAATGCTCATGAAAAAGCATTTGGGTCGATGAAATCGATATGTTTTCTAGAAGATGCTTTTAGGGATTATCTGATGTTCTAACATCTTTATGTAAATGATATTTCGGAAGAGCAAATTTTGATGTTTCATTCTTGCATTGGGGCTGTATGTTTTTACAAATCGATCTGTGCAATGCAACAATGTTCAATGATTGTTACCCAAGAAAAACCGAACCCAAAAGACACCATTTTGAATGCTTTGTGCTTTTTTTCTAAGAGCTTAAAAACTTAAGTTAGAAACAGCGGACATCGAGAAAATCCGAAAAAGACAATTACTGACATACATTGTGAGGTTTTGAGCATGAAAATATCCAATCAATTATTGATCGCTTAAGTGTCATGCGAGCTACAAAATTGAGTTTATTATCTCACTTTAATTCTTAAAAAAAAGCAAAAAATTGGAGTAAATGGTTTTTTGAGTTTGAACAATTGATTTTTATTGACAGGTTTTGATTTTTAAGCAAATTTTGCTACACAACTTTCTCCAGAAACACTTCTGACTTGCAAGTTGTGTAAAATTGCATGGTGGATCTTTCACTGAAAAACACTTCTGCTGCACTAGTTAGTTTGATTTGAGAACGTAGAGAAGGCTGCTTAGGGGTCAAAAATTCGTATGAGTAAGGTATTTTGCATGGCTAATGAGTGCTAATTCACTATGTTTAAGTGAACCCATGTGATCGCTTCAATCTTTTGCTTTAGCATTGAAAGATCTACCGATTATTATTTGGAACTCTTTAACCCATTGCTACTGACCTGTCCATATCAATTGATATAGTCATTGATAGAATTACCCTTGAAAAGCATTGAAATGTTCGTTTCAAAACTAACATCGTGTACGAAGGTAGTGGAGAGCTTCATGAATTATCGATTGGTAAATAAGTTTTTTCCGAAATCTTCAGAAATTGACAAATATAAATTAAATATTTGTAAGTTTTCAGTTGGTAAATTTTTTCAATTTTTAGCACTAACGATGACTCCAAGTTCCTTTTTCTACGGAGTTTCAGAACTAATATGTATAGAATACGGACTCATTAGTTATACAAAATACTTTACAAAATGATGAATTATCTAATAGCAAAGAAATGCATGTGGCACTGAAATGTTCACAGGTGTAGACATTGGGAGAAGTGACATGAAGATGGCTCTTTTTCTGTGAACAAAACTCATCGATATATATGTATATACAAATGATTGTCTTTTGAATGTTCGATAGTGTTTTTGCAAACAAGTTCATGTTGATCTCTTGTTGATCTCAAGAGTTCGAAGCAAACGATTTCCTCAACTCCAGACAACCAAAGAGAACAGACTTAAAACCTTAAAACGAATGAGAAGTGTCATGACTTATATGACACTCACTACATTTGTTATAAATGTTGTATTTTGTACTGTTGTCTGAAGAAGAACTTGCTAGTCTCGAGAACTCAAAAAAGAGTTCAGGTGAGTTTTTGATCAGTATAAAACGTCAATCGTATAAATATTATACTATCGATACGAATATTCTAATGCAGTTTGATGTCATTTCACATCACTTAAATCGTTCATATCTAAAACGTTTTCTTTCAAATAAAACGACGCCCAATAGTGATACGGTTTTTGAAAGTAAAGACGATAAAATTGGGTTTGCATTAAATAGTACATAAGTTGATTAATATTTCATCGACTCCGACAAGCTGAACCGAAATGATGGCTTAGGTCACTTTTCAGTCAGTCAAGATTTTGCAAGAGTTGGTTCGATATGATCGCAAAGTGTTCTTCATCGTTTCAAGGGATTTCTAAAGCATATAAAAATATTAATTGCAAGTAAACTTGTCGACAAAGAATAGAATGCGGTTCTACTTTGTATAGCGTTCGAATGACAGTGCCTCATATTCTTTTCTTCTGAAAGGATATTCTATTTTTCTCTTGATTATTCTTGTGCTTATCAGATGCGTGACGCTACAGTGCGCAGGTTCTCATCAAGAGCACTTTCGTGCTCAAGCTTTCAGGATGATATTTTTATGGATGATTACATAAGTTATGATTATTTTAAGAACTGGTCTACATGAACATTGGTCATTTATAAATGGGTGCTATTTTCTCTTTTATGCTCATTTGATTCGGTAGTCTTTTCCTATTGTGATAAATAAGTATACAGATACAACAGGCAAAAATTGCCACAGGTATTAAAACAATATTTGAATTTATCGAGGTATAAGAATGTTACAGTTTGAAGAAATAGTTGATTTTCAAAACGGTTTGGATTCTGTTTGATCGACTATAAACTTGTGCCGGCCCGACTAGACTAAAGTTTTAAAGAATTATGTCAGATTCAGTTAAGAAAAGTTTTAATTATGCAGGACTCTACTTTAGTTATGCTAACTATCTTGACATGGTTTCATCTTTAGAAACTTTTTCTGCCTCTCGATGTGTGTGGACAGTACTGAGTGTAGGTATGATTGGTTGTGGCGTGCACACTCCATCCACCCATCCATACGCTTCTTAGCTATTGAATAATATTGATTCATTCATTCTTACAGTAGTCAAAATTCACAACTACCTACAACATGGATAAGAAGATATCGTTCAAGGCAAGCAGCATCAGCACTGCCGAAGACAGTATCAAGAAGTCAGTAGTGACATCAAAACAAGGTACTGCTATAACTACTGCCGACAATGCTGCAGCTTCGTCGTCATCCTTTCGATCACGTCCGGCAAGAATTATACAAAATTTTCTTTTGGTCTGGCTCGATGCTAAAATCGACGAGAGCAAGAATGACTATAAAAATTCTCTCAGGCAACTACGAAATATTGTTAATACGATAGAAGTATTTACCAATGCTGATCAATGTTTCGAATATTTGAAAAGTATCAAAGATGAAAAAATCTTTTTAATCGTGTCTGGGACACTCGGCGAAAAAGCTGTGCCCCTCATACACGACATGGCTCAACTTGATACCATTTTTGTTTTCTGTGGAAAAAAAGAGCGGCACAAAAAATGGGCAACAGAGTGGTCGAAAATTCGATGTGTGTCGACCTCAATTAGATCTATATGCGAGCCATTGAAAAAGGCCGTTCGCGAATGCGACCATGATAAAATACCGATGAGTCTTGTTCCGAAGCGGATAATGGCAGAAGTAACATCGAGTCAACAGAAAACCAATGAATTAGAAGCGTCTTACATGTATTCAATGCTATTGAAAGAGATTATATTGGAAATTGATGAAGACGACGTAAAACTCGTAAACGACCTAGTGGTCTATTGCCGTGAGCAACAGGTTCCCGAATTTCAATTGAAGCATTTTCAGCGTAAATACCATCAGAAATCTCCAATCTGGTGGTATACTTATGAATGCTTTCTCTATGGTATGCTGAACCGCGCCCTACGGTCACTCGACATGGAGACAATGATCAAAATGGGCTTTTTTATCCGAGACCTTCATCGACAACTGGAACAACTGCACAAAGAACAATACGGTACATGTACGAAAAAATTTATCGTCTATCGTGGTCAGGGGCTTACCCAACAAGACTTTGACCATCTAGTCGACACGAAAGGTGGACTGCTCTCGTTTAACAATTTCTTGTCGACTAGTACAGAACAGGAGGTAGCTATGGAATTTGTTCTGCGTACATTACATAAAAATAGAGACATTGTGGGTGTTCTGTTTCTTATAACAGTTGATGTAAGTGAAGTTTCATCTTTGGTTACGCCGTTCGCACTTATCGATGAATACAGCGCTATAAAGAACGAAAAGGAAATTCTCTTCTCAATGAACACTGTCTTTCGTGTTGGTGAAATCAAACAAACAGTTGATAATAGTCGTCTTTGGGAAGTACAATTGACTCTCACAGATGATAATGATCCAGACTTAGCTGTTCTTACCCTTCGCATGAGCGAAGAAATCCAAGGCACTGGATGGTATCGAATGGGTCGACTAATGCTCCAAGTGGGTCATTTCGATCAAGCTGAAGAACTCTACAATGAATTACTCAAGAATTCCTCCAACGACCATGATAGATCACATATCTATCACCAACTTGGAATAGTGAAAAACGATCAAGGACAACACCAAGCAGCAGTCGTATTTTACCAAAAATCACTCGAAATCGACGGAAAAACTCTCCTAGAAGACGATTTTTCATTGACTGATACCTGCACCAACATCGATCTCGTGTATGACGAGATGGGAGACTATTCAAAAACACTTGAATTGAACGAAAAAGCACATGAAGTGAAAGAAAAAGCTCTATCTTCGAATGATCTTGATTGGGCTACTGCGTACAATAACATCGGTAAAGTATATAATAGCATGGGTGACTACAGAAAAGCACTGCAATTTTACGAAAAAGCAATGAAAATAAGAGAAAAAGTTCTGCCTCCGACTCATCTCGATTTAGCTCTTTCCTACAACAACATTGGTGCAGCGTATCAAAACATGGGCAACTATTCAAAAGCACTTGAGTTCTTCGACAAAGCACGTCAAACAAAAGAGAAAACTCTACCTCCGAATCATCCCAATTTCTCTATTTCCTACAATAACATCGGTGCAGCAAATCAAAAAATGGGTAACTACTCACAAGCACTTGAATTTTATGAGAAAGCACATAAAATAAAAGAGAAAGTTCTATCTCCGAATCATCCCGATTTGGCTACGTCCTACAACAACATCGGTCTAGTGTATCGTGACATGGGCGACTACTTAAAAGCACTTGAGTTTTTTGACCAAGCACATCAAATAAAAGAAAAAGCTCTGTCTTCAACTCATCCGAATGTGGCTATTTCGTATAACAATATCGGTGCAACGTATCAAAACATGGGTGACTACTCGAAAGCACTTGAGTTTTACGATAAAGCACATCAAATAAAAAAAGAAGTTCTATCTCCGAATCATCCCGATTTGGCTATGTCTTACAATAACATCGGTGAAGTATATAAAAGCATGGGCGACTACACGAAAGCACTTGAATTTCACGAAAAAGCACATAAAATCTTTAAAGAAGTTCTGCCTCCGAATCATCCTAATTTGGCTCTTTCCTACAACAACATCGGTGGAGTGTTTGACGCCGTGGGTAAATACTTGCAAGCGCTTATGTTTCACGAAAATGCACAGCAAATCTTCGAAAAGGCCCTATCTCCAAATCATCCCGATTTGGCTACTTCTTACAATAACATCGGCAAAGTATATAACAACATGGGTGACTATACGAAAGCACTGCAATTTTATGAAAAGGCACAGAAAATAAGAGAAATAGCTCTGTCTTCGAATCATCCCGATATTGCTCTTGCGTACAACAACATTGGTGAAGTGTATAAAAATATGGGTGACTACTCAAAGGCACTTGAATTTCACGAAAAAGCAAACAAAATGTTTGAAGAAGCTGTACCTCCAAATCATCCCAAGTTGGCACTTTCCTACGACAACACTGGCCTAGTGTATTGCGGCATGAGTGACTACTCAAAAGCACTTGAATTTTATGAAAAAGCATTGCAAGTCTTCGAAAATACTCTACCTCCGAATCATTCAAATTTAGCTACTGCGTACAACAACATCGGTCTAGTGTATCGTGACATGGGCAATTACTCGAAAGCACTTGAGTTTTACGAAAAAGCACATGAAATAAGAGAAAAGGCTTTGCCTCCAAGTCATTCCTCATTGGCTACTTCTTGCATCAACATCGGTTCGGTGTATCATGATCTGGGTGATTATGCAGCTGCTCTTAGGGCTCTTCAATGTGCTTTTGAAATTCAACAAAAAGCATTTGAAGAAGATAATCCAGCTTTTGGTCCCACATACAGCTGGTTCGGAAGAGTTTATCGTAGTGTGAAAGATTATTCCAAGGCACTTGATTATTTTGAAAAGTGCTTCACAATAGTTCAGAAAACGTTGCCGGAAGAACATTCCAGTCGAGCTATTACATACCATAATATTGGTGATATTCATCGATTAATGGGAGATTATGAAAAGGCACTTTCATTTCATCGAAAAGCATTAAGTATTCAAGAAAATGTTCAATGTAATCCTCTGGAATGTGCAACGACATATACAAATTTAGGTGAAACTTATCGAGAAATCGGAGACTATGCAACAGCATTGACATATTTTGCAAAAGGATTAGAAATTCATCAAAAGCAAATAACAACAAATCACCCTAATTTAGCTGTAATCTATCATAATTTGGCCAAATTATATTTGACTATTCGGCAAGATAGTATGGCACTTGAAAACATTCAACAAGCGATTGACATCGCTGAAAAAAAATTGCCTTCACATCATCCTCATCTTTTGGACTATAAAGAAACTTTTGAAAAAATTCAAAAGAAGCTATAAGTTGTTTTTCTTGCTTACCCAATAAATCGGTCTTGATTGCTACTCATTTTCCTTTTCGATTTCTCTCGGCTCACTATCGCGTACATGCGACTAGAGAGACCCCCGTAAACCTGACATGGGTACACACAGAGCAGACTATGTTGGACTGGTAGGACAATCAACGTATGTATGACGCCTATAACAACGCAAGAGATCTACGAACATAGCCGCCGTCCCAAGTACTATACAGTTTTCGCCATAACAGGCACAAGAAATCATCCTGGGCCAGGCAATGAAGCCACGTAAACAGCTGTAATATAAGATCATGTTCTTTCTTTCCTACACAATAATATAGCTATGAAATAAAACCAGTTAAATACCAAAAAACAAGTTTTCTACTTTTTTTTTATGTAGGTTTAATACATGCATGTATATTAAAACGTCATTCTATTAGAAATAGATGATATTTATACCTTATGTGAAAACTATCTCGAGAAATGCAATTGGCCACTAGAACTTCTCAACGTATCTATATGTGTACCGCCTTAATTGAAAAAAATCAAGTTTAGCTTACACTTATTCTTTTCTTAAGTCTTTCTTCAACGAAAAATAACATTAAAGCAATATCCCTTGTCTTGTCATTAAAATACAAAAAATATTTTGATTTACAATAGCATTCTATTGTAATGATATTTTGAATATTACTATATATTCTTAAATTTAATGGTAAGTGACTATTTAACATTAATGATAACTGACGAATCGACTTAAACGGTAATATCAAAGCCCATCATTCGACTTCTGATCATTGCCAATGAGTTTGTACTAATATAGTATCATAGTTAAAATTTCATTATATGTAATTTGAAATATAATGTGTATAATAATTTATTGTTATACATTTTCATTGTAAAAAGTTTTAGTCATCGCTTTATTATGTGAGTTGTATAAATGTATATCATTAACCCGGCATATATACATAATAATGAAGTATTACATGAATGTATAAGTTTCATTATAGTAAATTCTATAATCATTAGAATAAATGTATATTGCACTTCCTAGAAACTACATTATAAGTGTACTTACTCAATATGTTGATGCTGTGATGTCCGATTGAATATAATGATTTCATACAAGAAAATCATTTCTTTATATAAGCTTTAAATATCAAATATCAATCATTGATGAATAAATAATCAGTGGCATTGCCATGTTTCTTTTTGCATAAATTAGAAGACTGATTATTGAAGACAAACAAAAAACATACTTGATACTCATTAAACTAATAATTAATGAGAGGATCAATTTCTTTGTTTTCGTCGACGATTAATCTATTGGTATTCTACAATGTTTTCACTGAGATTCATGCTCATTTTATTTTCTTCTTTTTCGATTTTCTATAAAAAGTTTCGGGATGTCGATGTGGATGTATATGTACTTATTCTCTTCTCATCACACATACAACACAGACATTTTATTGATACGGAAAATTCTGAGTTAGAGAAGTTTGAATAAGGGCTTTATAATTTTTCAGATGAATATTTTATTGACGTGTCTCAGCCTGAATAGTGTTTTTCAAAATATCTGAAAAATTAAACATATCATTTAAAGAATGTTAGTAACAAATATTAGACAAAAAGAGAAAATAAAATAAAAATAGTCCGAGACATATTATACGACTAGGAATAGTGACAGAGAGAATATAGAATTACACTTCGAGAAGTGTCTATACAGCTGAATGTAGATGATTTATATATGTCATATAAAAATAATATACGAATTGTGTTAAAGAGTCAGTTAGGTAATATATAGTCGAAGAAAGAATCAAAGAAAATAACATTATTTATAAAAGAGTGTCTACATAATTGAATGTAAGATAAATCAATGACTTGTATGTGTTTCGTATAGATTGTGTATCTATAATCATGATGATTAATAATCTATTTTGTCGGTAGTCAGTCGTATGGTAAATAGAATGGAGACAATAGGTACATATACAAAATATTAAAAATTGCACTTGTTTAGCATGCAATACATTAATAAATGAACACTTTTGTCATACGCAAAATATGGAAAAATTGGCACTGTGGTAATATGTGAAATATGAAAAAATATATATACTTTTTTGAGCATGTAAAATATAGAGGAAAAATATAAAAAAACATCTACTTTTGTATACCGCAGAAAAATAAAAAATACGCACTCTTATAAGTGCAAAATTGCCCATGTTATAGAAAAGCAATACCTTTACAGAAATATAGACCAACGCATGCATACATACATGCATGCATGTCCACCCAGTAATCTTTCATGCGAAATGAAAGGGTGAGCGAGCTAGAAAATGTGTATGTGGCATATCTATGTGTCAGGATTTAGTTGTGCATTCAATGTTTTTATTTAGAATTATTCACGATCTAACCTGTGTTCTTCATTTATATAATTTGCTTCTATAATTATTATATTTACAAGTTTAATTGGATGTTGATCTGAATTGAAATGTTCTGGACATATTGTATCATGCCAGCATTTATTTTTTATTGCAGTGAGATGATGATGAAATCTGTTTCTTAATGTTTGACTTGTTGTGTCAACATATTGAGAATGACAGTGTACGTGTAGCTAAATAGCCTAGATTTGAAGTACCACAATTAACTGAATAAGGATTAATAAACATTGGATTTTGAACTGTGGACATAAGCCAATGTTGTTCAATAATATGCTTGCATGTTATACATCTTGGATTTTGACAACGATAAGATCCTAATAAATTGGTATCTGCTTCTGATTCAATATTATAAAATGAATGAGAATAACGAGATCTCATTCATAAATTAGTATGATTTGAACGCCATTTATGTATAAAAACAATATTTTCAGGAATATTTATTGAAAATTCATTTTGTAATAATAAACGAATGTTACGAAGTTGTGAATAAAATAGTATAGTGATATGTTAATGGATGTCTTTTTTCTTGGATTTTTTCGAACGATAAATGAGTTCGTGACCATCAGAATATTGAATTTCTAATATGCTCTGTAGTATATTTGTTGCATTATGATCACGTGATAATAGACGAGTAAATAAATTAAAAAGACTCATACCATTTGGATGTAGTAGATGAATAGACACAAATAATTCTATTACATAAACTCAAAAGTATATTATTTATGATACAACGTGGATGTGAGCATGAGAATTCAAGATATTGAAATGTATTTGATACCTTTACATATAGTGATATTTCCGATCGGTTTAAAGTAGAATTATTGATAATATTTACATCCAAATAATATATATTTAATTTAGTTCTTGCAAATGTATGCTTTAAATTCGATTTAGTACTATTTAATTGATTTTGTAATTCGTTTATAATTAAAACATCATTTGAAAGAAGAATAAAAACAATCGAGTAATCGAAAGAAACGAAGAAAAAGACGGGATGAATATATTTTAATAAATTGTTTCAATGCTACGATTTCTTTACCGAACACATATATATTGGCATATGGATGAGATACAGCTGTATTCATAGCCGCAACTTTTATCCGATGATAATATTGTCCTTTAAAAATAATTATATTGTTTTCAATACTAAATTAAATAATTTACTAAATGAATTTAACGATAATGGAAAATTCATAATAGATGCATATAAAGAAATAAGTTTCTTCAATGTAGATATTATAAGATCATCGCTGTAGTTCTCGATTGTTCTTTCCTATAAAGGAATAACTGAACTGCAATAGAGATAGATGAATCTCAGTGGAAACCAAAAAAATCGACGTTTTTTTTCTTTTTTCCAATAGAGCTTCATCAAGGCTATTTTCATTTGTGGAGACAATACCATCTCATCTGATTCAATATTCGTAACACTCAGACATATTGTTTTCGATGTCTAACCATGTTTCTACTGACAAGGTAGCAACCCGAGCTGCACCATGCAGTTTCAATTAATATATATACTAGATTGTGAAATTCGGCAAGCCTACTTCATTCTGTAAAACATCTGTTACCACACACTAAAATAAGATGTGTCACATGTGTCGTACTTTGCAACACATTATATCCAGCGACGGTACGACACATGTAACACATACTGAAAATGTTGTTCGAATTTAGTATGAAGCGGGTTTTTCTTTTTTTCTGCGTAAAAGAAAATTGTGATATTTTATTAATTGTCCATTTAATTATTCATAATCTGAAGATTCAAGCAGGTCAGATCTCCATCAGACCGTTGCAGGGTAGTCCTCTCTCAATCGTCTATCAAGATTGGCATACTCTCGACTAATAAATAATTGAGAAATAATTTGGAAAAAATCAACACGAAAACATATAAGTTTCGTATGTTCAGTAGAGTTGTCTATATAGAGGTGTGTGTGCAAAACTAAATGGTGAATGAATAGTTAATATACAGAACGCGACAAACTCGTATACGACATATTATAAGTGCGACACATAGGCACTACACATTTTATTTTAGTGTGCATACCTAGCCATTCTAGAGTTACCATAGTTTAGATGAATTTTCGTCCTTATGGGAAGTCGTACGTCCAAATATTCAATTTTTGCAGTGTCGATTTGAAATTTTGTTATGAGTCACAAAGATAAATTTTACTTCATTGTATAATATAAAATAACAGCACATTATTTTTGTACGAAATCAAATTTCTCTGCTAACTTGTTAATAAATACAGTTGGATTTTTCAATCTCAAAACAATATGATTAATATAATTAGAACAATATCTAAAAGCCATTCGAATCGATCCGTTTCAAGATCTTTGAGTTAAATAAGCCTCGAAATAAGATAAACGAGTAATTTTCCATGAACTTTATATAGGTCACACTCAAATGATCAGTCTCTCATATGAAAGATTGTATTTTTATTTTCATCAATCAAGATAAAAAATTAATTTATTTTGATGACTTTTACAGATAAAAGTCACCTGTGAACTTTCTAGCAACTATTATTTAAATGTTTCATTTAATTAGAAGTATATTAAAAGCTCTTAGAACGGATAATTTGAAAGAAAAGTCAGTTTTTTTCTTTATTATCGATTGATACTTTAATATTCCAATCAGAATTATTAAATTATAAAGAGACAACTTTTTGTACCCATGCTTTCTAAGCTCAAGACGTGAATGTGATTGTTTGAAAAGAGGACTCACACTCACCACACCGACACGAACATTTATGTTCACTCTTGTTTTAATAACATAGTTAGATATCAAAGTTAATGAATGAAATATATTAAGTGTACTATGATAAATTTTTACTTTATAGAATAATTTGACGGTTGTTCCCAGACACAAAGTTTTTGACATTAGTAAGAAGTATTTGATTTAGGATAAAAAGCGCTTTTATGACAATTTTTTTGAAAAAACTATTCAAAAAGTTAAAGACAAAGTCGAGACAGGCTTGTAAAGAATCCTCTGCCGAACCGGTCGTTTATCATTACAGGTTGCAACTCTGCCCCATACCGACACACCACCACATTCACCTCTGAATTGATTATGGGTCATTATTAAAATATCAGTTCCTCAAAGTTGCTATTATTGACTCACAATCGATGCTTATTGGGACAATTAATTCTGATTATATTTATCCACATAACGCGCACATGCAAGCTTTCACTGAAATTCGATTTGTCATCCAGCGCCCTCTAGATAAGATACAATATACCGTTATTGCATAACCACAAAGCAATCAAAATCAAGCTACAAAAACAATTTTTTTTTCTGTACAAAAAAGGACCTTTGGAAATCATGAGCGATTCAACAACTAGTGTGGAAAAAAAAACAAGTAAAAATAGTCGGAATGAAAAAATAACGACTGACACATCAACCAACAATAAAAGATGTATTGAACTAGTTAATTCTTCGAATAGTACCAGATATTTTTCGTTTTAAATTTGAATATTATATTTTGTTTTTTTCAGCCGAAACTGAAACGAAAAATAGTGGAAAACGAACGAAAAATACAGATGTCTCAAATACAAACACTAATGATAAAAATGATGAGTAAGAATCATAATAATATCAAATTAAATATTTTCTAAATTTTTATATAAGACCTGTTTCTCAATCATATGATGATAACTTCGAGGAAAATATAGACGACATTAATAAAAGTATGTCATAATTGCTTCGATGAATATATATGTATCTTTACAATGTATTTCTTTTTGTTACAAGACACATCCAATGATGAACCATCACCCCGATCAAACGAGTAAGCGAACAAGAAATAAAATAAGTATTACAGCTGAGTTTATATATTAAATGAACAAGATTTTTAATAATATTTTTTGATGCAATAATTAATTTAGAAAAAAGAAATCAGTAGCATTAAACCTCAAGGTTGAATCCAATTACTGAAATACAAAGAAAAAACCTTATATATAAAGTCAAAAAAAAAAAGAGAAAAACACAAGTCAGCGATTGTATTCTTGAAGAAAGTTGAGTAAGGGATGGATCATTATTTGTTATCTCATATTCCTCAAAATTAGAAATCAGAATGAATAACTTTTTTTTGACTAGATTAATATTTCATGAACCTTTATTGATGTCCTAGGGCATAAGTGGATCCTTAGTCTTGTATTGGTATGTAATGTTCTTATCAGAAATCATGAATAGATCTAAGAAAAAAATGAAGCTACGAGCCCACATCAAAGATGTTAATGATAGGCTTTTATGTGACTTGTCGGTTATTTCACGGGTTCAACAGTCATTAATCCGTCACAAACTACCTATCGATTAATAAAAATTATATTGGTAAAAAATTTAGATTTAAATTCTTTAGTTAATTGAAAAACTTCTAGTTTTTACGATTTGTGAAACTGAAATGTTGATATATTGAATTAAATTTCAAAAATAATAGAGGAACGAAGAATTGGAATAAATAATAAACGAAACTATACGTAGCACGAAAGCACTATGGATCATGTGCAAAATAATGAATCCTGTCCGTGTGCTCGTAACACATGCAAATACTAAACTTGAAAAGCCGTGACTCATCAAAGATCCAATTCGCATATGGATTGACTGGTGAATATCTCTGATCTGCATGAATCCCATGACAACTATATAATGTTACAGGCATCATTTTTTGGTCTGTTGAAGCTGTTTATATTTTCTCTCAATTATAGTTTCAAATGGAGTTGTTCATTTCTATTTACCAGCATACATAGATGCCCATAGCGCATAAATGAACAGTTTTAATAAAGCAAACGAATCATTTTCGTAATTTTCTATGGACTGGGTTGAAAATTATCTCTAGGACATGAATGAGTTTCTAAAATGAGAACAACAATGAAGAACTAATTATATTTGGATAGATTCGTATCAGAATTCAGTGATTTAACAACATTATCAAGGCTTTCAACTCACAATAGACCCGAAATTTTTTTTCAAAAAGCTAATCTCGTAACAAATGAATATATAATCAAAAAATATTCATATTCACTAAATTTGAACGAAATAAGACTTTCATTCACATTATCCGTCATATTTTTTTTGTATTTCTTTAGTTATGATGAAGATAGTCTTGAAGGAAAATATTGTGAGAATGAAGGTTCTCAAGAAGAACCGTCATCACAACAGACAAATGATAGTAACTGTTCCTAGAAAACTTAATTATTTGTTAAACTAATATTTTTCTTTCATATTTTTAGGTTTTGACATTGATAAGGTAGATGAAGAAGATGATGGAACGTTTCAAGTAATTCTTAGATTTTGCTTTTAAAATATCTAATGAATTAATTCTTTTTAGGGAGTACCACTGTCAGATATTCCAAATATATGTCAACAATCACCAACTATATCTGATATGAAAGATATTCGCGATCGTAATCATACATTTCTAATAAAAGTATGTATAATGACTACGATAACAAGTGATGCAATAGTTCTGCACTAATTTTATGTTCAGTATAGTATGTCGGTAACTTGTCGCAGAGACTTGATACTTTTTTTGTTAACAAGAGTAAAGTTTCTGTTGCAGAGCGATACAAAATTACTTCGTTCAAAATATTTACCGAAAGCTAAATAGTTTTAGGAACATTTTTGACTAGAAAAGTTCTCTGCATCGAAGAAAACTTCCATCCGCTAAGAAAGTTCGTATTATTTTTCATCTTTTATCGGCATTTTCTATCGCTCTCATGTGTTTTAAAAATGAATATGAAACTATAGAGTAACGATCGCTTCAATATTTCCTATTAAAGTCTTGATAGTAAAACTAATCCTAGTTTTTTTCGTAAACAAAAGAGTTATCGAACACATAAACATGCATAAGAGACGATATATTAGTGAATTTAAACAAAAGTAATGAACACTTCAAGAGAATCACGCAAGATGTCTCGAGCTCATTGACATTGCTAAAAAATTAGATCGCAATTTTTGCTAGTATATGTATTAGTTGAACGCGAAACTAGAACCAAAAACTTTTCCTTATCAGAACCGGAACCAAAAACGATTCAACCCGCTCATTACTTGTTCAAAGTCGACATTTTTATAATAATTTTTACTATCCAAAAATAAAGCTTTTTCCAAAAATCAAAGTTAGTGAAACCCCATATTTTATATCCAAATAAAGTTTAAGAAGTCTTCAAGAGAAGCACATTATATAAAACAAAATATTAGACTATGAGAAAAACTTCATCGGAACTTGTTGAGATTAAATCATCAAGTTTTTTAATAAAACAACTTTTACCTATTGAATCTGTAGTTTTGTAACTAGAATATTTTGATAGTACTAGAAACTTTGCGCTGTACAAGT